ACACGTTGGTCAAAAGGTTGTGAACAGCTGCTCTAGAGAAACTGGAAACAAGTTCTTTGATTATAAATGACTGTTTCCTAGGACCGAAGGCTAGAAGATACTTAAATGAACGCTGTTACCCTTTCTCGAACACCAGATGATAGGGAATGGAAGTGCGTACACACATTAATTTGCAAGGTATTCTCAGAAAACATCATGAAATGCTTCCTTGCATTATCAGTCTTTGACTGGAAAAGGGAAGCAATCATTAGAGGCTGAAGAAAGAAAGAAAAAGCATTGATTATGCCTATAATAACCATGAAGTAAAAGGTCGACTAGACAGACGAAGGTGTAATCTTCCTGCTAGAAAGAAATAGGAATTCTGGATTTGAACAAATGACTGTAAGAAACATGTTTTTTACTTGCTGTACACGTGACTTGTAACATGTTGAAAATGCCTAAACAAAATTATGTAAGCCTGAAAGAAAAGAACGATTTGCTGAAATATTATGATACATTTGGTAAATGCAGCCAAAGAGAAGCAGCTTTTAAAATCGAGATTTCTCAAACAGCATTACACAATTTACTTAAACAAAGAAATAAAACTGATAAAGAATTAGTAAAAAATGCAAATGTCTCAAGAAAGCGCAAAAGGGATGGAAAATCGAGAGGTTGAAACCGCTCTTCTAGAATGGTTTCAAACTATGAGAGCAAAATTGTTCTAATTTCTAGAGCTCCTTTTGACGACAAAAGCTGTAGAATTTGCTAATATGCTATAAGAAAATTTTGTGCCAATTGATGGAAAGAGAGAAATAACATTTTTTATCAGAAATTGCATGGTGAGAAGCAAGAGGCAGGGCATCATTCGGCTGAGAACTGATTAACAGATGTTTTACCGAACTTCTGAATGAATACAAGCCACACGAAATTTATAACACACATGAAACTGCATGTTTTACAAAGCATTTACATATAACACGTTGATGTTCAAAAGTGAAAGAGCAGCTGATTTTAAGAAATTAAAAGAACGAGTTACTGTGTTATTAATGTGCAATATAAAAGCAACGATTAAGAAGACGCCATTGGTTGTTGGAAAAAGAAGAAAACCTCATTGTTTAAAAAGAGTTAAGAATTTACCTTTAACTTAAATGATAATAAGAACTCACGGATGACAAGCAATATTTTGGCTGATTTGCTTTTGAAATGGAACTTAGAACTGAAAAACAAAAAAATAGCTTTACTGTTAGATAACTGTGCTGCGCATCCCTATTAAACGTTATATTAGTGTTTCTTCCCGCAAATACGACTTCTATCGTTCAGCCATTATACCACGGTATTATAAAATCTTTAAAATGTAATTACAAAAAAAGTATTGTTCAGAAAAAAATTAAAATTAAATCTTGTAAAAATGTGAGCATTTTAGAGGAGATAATATGTGGCCCAAGAGGCGCATTAGTAAGTTAGATAATAAAAAATTAATCCTCTGCGAGCACGACTTTAAAACTTCATCAGGAATGTAATTATAAATAAAAAATAAACTTCCAAATTTTGCGATAGTTTAATTTTAGCATTAGTTTTTAATTAATAATTTAGATAATAATAATTATTAGATTAACTGTTAGTTACTATCTTACTAAATAAGTTCAAAATTGATACAGTTAATTTGCAACATTAAAATTACCATTTATTAAACTAGCCCCTTAATAAATTTAAATACGCTTGTAACGGAGATTTTAATAAGCAGGCATACTGTATTATTGTTTTTTCCATGCGAATTTCATGCCCTGACAAAACAAAGTTGTGGTCATTTCATTTATAGTCGATATCTGTTGCAGGCAATGCACTGAAAAACAATGCGTAGTTATGGCACTTGGTTTTGGATAAAATTCTGCTTCACTAAATGAGTGCAAAAGCTCCTAATAGCTTTTTCTTACAATGAAAAGTTTCAGAAGTTTTTAAGGCTCATTTTTAAAAGCAATTCATTAATGATAGCTTGTAAAGGAAGATATAATTCGAATTTGGACTTTTAGATGGTGTTGCTATTGCATTTATTTTCAAAAAATATGAAAGGAATCTAAAGTTTTGTCTAACAATAGTTAGTAAAAAAAAAAAAAGCAACAAGTTAAATTATCTCCACATTTAATCAATACTTAGAATTCATTCCTTTTAGACTGAGCCAACTTGAATAAAATGTACAATTTCCTTTTTGTATATTAATTCCTTTCTCAGAAGTAACACACATATATAAAATTAAGCAAAAAAAACCAACCTTTTACTGGAGTTATTTCAACCAATTTTGAAGGAGAAATGAAAGTTGAGAATTTGTTGAAATAAGCTAGTATATATAACAACTTAAGATATACGGGGTATAATTTATTCACTAGATAGATATATGTTTCAAATAAACCAAAATAAGAGATGGGGAAAAAACACTAACTGAATTTTATTTAGCACTTCAAAGAATTTATATTAATACATTTCAACATCAGCACCATGCGTTGCCCAAAGAATATCAAGTCTGTTCTCAATTTCTCTCCAGATATTATTAAGCATTTGCAGTCATGGTAGTTGTTTCTCTGGTAATTTAATTTTTTTAATTATTCGATGGTACAAATCTTTGTAGCACAAACTCAGTTCTTTAGGTATCCCCAAGAAAAAGATGTCGAGTGGTATGTATTCAAAGAACAGGTTGACCACGACATTGGTCCACCTTTACCAATAAAATAACCCAGGAATGTTTCATCAAGGAAATCATGCACATGTGTAACTCAATGATAAAGGGCCTCCATCCTGCTACAAAAAAAAGTTTAACTGCATAAAGTCTGGGTGCCTTGCATTGGCATTTGCAAGCATTAATACAAGATTATCTAACATCTTATTTAGAAATTGGGGAGGAATGAGAGATCAAAAGAAAATCTCTCTTTAAAACAAAAGAACGCATTGATGATGAAGATTAATGATTTCATTCAAACATTTCTTGATGTACAAATTTAATCTAATTTAAAATAACAAGGAAAGAAAATGGTTATTTCAGTGACCATACCCAAGTTCTCAAAGATACTGCTTTATATTTTAGGTAAAAAAATAAAAGAAGCTTAAAACTGTTCTGTTACAACTATAAAAATAATCTATTCTGTTCTTTGATTAAATAACATTTCCCCCATTTCTTAATATTGAAAACACACATATAATTAGGCTCAGCCATATGATGTTAAAAATAGCTTTTATTGAACCTCAGTGATATTTTTCATTTTCAAACACACATGTAAAATAAATAAAATTTTCAGATTTATTATCAAAATGCTACACCTAGCCACTTAATCAGAATGCAGAAAAGTTTGTTTTCAGCCTAACAAAACAAATAAAGTAATCATAAAAGAACATAAGTTGACATATTTTTTAAACATAAAAAAATTTGACTTAAATACTCTATTATAATTACAATCATGCATTCTATATTTATAAAAATTAGGTCTTTATGTGGGCTTTTATTAGCATAGATTTATATCAATGCAAATTTTTATCCATGTGCGCTATTTATCACATGAGCAGTAATTAGTTTTTTTTTTTGGGGGGGGGGAGCTTTTCTCACCTGCACTTTCAAAGAGTGGGCTTTTATCAGGGAACCCCTTCTTCCTGAGGCAGTAAACAGTCATGCTATCTCCATAACTGATTAACTAACAAATAGCTAAATATTTTTAGACCATCAGACACCGTGTGACTAGAACTGTAAAACAATAATTGCTCATAAAATTTCCAGATAAAAAAATAGAACTAGATAACTTTCAAGACTTACCTCATTTGTAATGCAATATCAGTCAGTTATTCGTAGAAAATTCTCTAAGAGACATTTCTGTCTTTATGCAGATGAGACAATATATTTTGCATAATTAACAAATATAATTTAATATACAATCTATCTAAGCTGAGATAATATCAGGATTCCTGAATTTGTAATATGTTTAATTATTTCAACACACACAAAAAAAGCACTTATCTTCATTATTTTTATGCATTGTTTAAATGTGACCAAAGCATATATTTTATGCATGAAAATTCACTGAAACAAAACTTGAACAAAGCTGTTTTAACTTGACTGTATAATGCAATACAATCAGCTAATGTAAAATTATTTATTACTTTTAATTCATTGAAATTTTTTAAATTCAGATTACAGTTTTTGCCTGTTTGAAGTATTTATTTGTGGCAATTAACTTGTTTTAATGTTAAAATTCTGGAATAAACTGCAATTATAATCTCAGATACAATTAAAAAAGTTTCCATTCTGATAAAATTACAACCTGTATAGGTAACACAGTATTTACATATTATCCCACTGACTGTGAATGTTAGCTATCATCGAAACATGAAAAGTGATGAAAATCTCGCTAAAAGTGCACCAATCATACTTGCAGAATCTTGAAGCCCCTTTATTTAATAAACAATACGTATTCAACTTGTTAAGTTTTTGTGCTTCATAAAAAGGCTTTTGCAGATTTCTACTATTTTGTTAGGTCCTTTAATTTTACCAGATGCTCTGTTTAGAAAGCTATGAATACAAACTTCCCATAGTCAGTTGTTCCTATATATCACTATTTTGTAGGTTACATTCAGCTCACTATATCTTGTCCATTAATGCAGACATTTTTTCATGGTAGGATTCCATACCTTTGTTGTAAATAAGCCACTGCTTACTCTATGTAGAAGACAGGTCACAAATTTTTATCATTTTTTCAAAAGGTAAGTAAAAATACAGTAATAACAATTTATAGCCCTGTTCATAAAAATATGTGTTTTATGAATTTAAATTCTTTGAAATGAAGCTCAAACATATCTGTTTTAACCTGATTGTATAATGAAATACAGTCAGCAAATGTATAAATGATTAATTACTTTTAATTCATTGAAATCTTTTAATTTCAGTTTAAAGTGTTTACTTTAGTGCAAGTAAATATTTATTTGTAGCAAATAACTTGCTTTAATGTTTAAACTATAAAGTCAATTGTAATTATAATCTCAAATACTATAAAAAGTGCTTTTATTCTGACAAAATTACAGCCTTTATTCATACTAAATATTTTACATAATAAAAACATATTTCAAATTTTTAAAAACAAACACCAGGTTAATCAGCTGAAAGTTCAGTAGGTCCTAAGTATTATGAATTAAAATTTGTCAGTTAATATAAACTATTCTATAATTAATTTCTTTTACAGACATTTCAAAATAGTGCGTTTCCTCTAAACATTTAGTCACACATTTTATATCAAAAATGGTAAACCTAACTTTCCCCTGGCTGGGGTAAGTTTTGCAGATGTTCTTGTGGTATTTCTTAATGACATACCAAAAGATTTTGCAGCACTTTTTTTTTTGCTGCGTCGCTGGCTGTTGTTCTGAGATATACGAGTTCCACCAAGCTTTCTTGAAGATAATACAGAACTACGATGCTTATTTCTTGATGACTTGTTTAACTCAGCAGCAAACTGGGTGTATGTGGTATCATTCGAAGAACCAGACACTGCTGTTTTATCATGCTGGTTTTTTCCTTTCTGTATTTTTTTCTGGCATTTGGCTTGGACAATACTATTTTGAGATTTTTTATTATTAGCAAGTCTATCCGTTCTGGAATGTAGTTTTCCAACTGTGTTTGGAGTTGTTTTTAAAACTTTCACATTTGGGGTACGGAATACTGATACACCAACTCCTGACTTAAACAATTTACTGGGTGCAGATTTTGGAGTGCCAGGCAAAAGTCTCTTTCCAGGTGTTCTTAAAGTGGTTTCATTGCCAATCTGTGAACGCATTTTGTGCCTCATGATCTTTTCATTCTCTTTTTGATTTATTCTGTCTTCCCACTGCCTGTTAATAAACTCTCGAAAATCTAGTCCAAAATATAGAAATGGTTTGCCTTTCTGAGCTTCATACTCTTCTATGTCATTAAATATTTCATTTTCTAAAGCTGGGAGATCTCTCTGCAACCTTCTTCGCTCTTTTTCTTCCTGTAAAAGATTTCCCCCTCTATTTTTGTATCGGTTGGGATCTGATGACTTATTTTCAAAAGCTATCAGTAAATCCCATAACTTCTGCCTTTTTGCAATTTTATTCACAATATTTTCAGTGTCTTTATAAAAGCTTCTCCATTTCTCCACTTCCATATCATGTGCCTCTAAGATTTCATCATTAAATTCCATTGTAGTAAAAGGATGAAATTGCTGTCTTTGTGTTTCAGAAACAAAACATCTATCCCATAAGCCTTCCAGCTCTTTTCGAAGATTTTCAACGTAACTTTGTATGTTTTGTTTTTTTATTTCTTCATATTTTTGCACTTCCTTTTCAATAGATTCAATTGTTTTGACACGACAGTCTGCATGCTGTGAAAGAAACAGCTCTTTTTCATACTCATTTACATTTAATCTCTGCCAGAGAGTGGTTAATTTGTCCATCAATTCTTTTTTCCTAGCTTCTAGGCCAGCTTTTTTATTTTGGACTTTGCATACAATATCTTCCAGGGCCTTCATAGTTTCATCTGACAGTAAGATGCTATCTTCTTTACCAGAGATAATATTTTTTTCAAGGGATGTTTCAGGTGACATTTCAGTTGTCTCTAAAATGGTAGTCAATTCCTTTCTGAAAGAGTAGTACTTTTTAAGACGCTTATCCTTTTCTAATATCAGCATAGTTATGTGCTGCTGAAGTTCATGCATATCTTTTTCAGATGCAAGGCCAGAAGCTGTAGAAATATTTAGAGGTGGTAAACCCAATCTTTTGCAATATTTTGACTCCTCGGAGCGAAGATCCTTAAAAGCTTTTATCCTTTTATGTTTTAATTTAAATAAATTTTCCACTTCAATACGTAAACGCTCTTCTGTTTGAATTAAAGATCCTTCTACTACATCATTTGCTGGTATATTTAATAATTGTGCAAGCTCCAATATTTGCTTCTTATAATTTTGTATGCGCTGCTTTATATCTTCATAGAAACCATTTTCCTCCTCTATTATATCCCGTAATAAATTCTGAATGTGGTCACTTACTACTTTAGCACGTTGTGATTTCTGCTCACCATCAATACCAAATTCGTTCCAAATAAAGGACAATTTATTGAAAGAAGATTCTATTTTTAAGCAGAGATCATTTTTTATTTTTTCCAGTATTGTTTCCTCAGAGGCACTTCCAGCTACGGATGTACGATTCATATTTCCGAGTTCTAAGCATTAAACCTTGAATGTTGCTAAATCAAAATCCACCTTTAAAAGAAAGATTTATTTAAATAACAAATTAGGAAATCTCAAACGCAGGTGTATGAAAGGCAAAGAAAAGTCATGAAAAACTTTACATGAGAATAAATCATACATTCTAAAATTTACAACATTAATCCATAAACGAAAAGAAAAGCAATACATTGGGGGGGGGAAGTTATGAATTTAACACTAAAGATAATTATAATCAGTTATGAATATTAGACAGGGTTGCCACTCAAACAGGAGAATGAAATTCCCTGACTTTTCCAGGTTTTCCAGGTGCGTTTCAAGAAAATTCCAGTCTATCCGCGTTATGTACGTTGGCTACGCTAAGAGGTAAATTAATTATGATATTACTTGTATTGTGTGTAGCAAATTCACTTAATTATTCAATAAATCCCAGAGGACATTTATTCTTAATTATTCTTGGTATACTTTGTTTGATAATTTTGTTTACTTTTCCACTTAAGAAACTTAATAAAATTTAAGATATATACATTGGATAACAAATGTATGTTTTATTTAATTATTACTCATGATCATCACCAGTTCAACACAAGGCTAATCCGGTCCTTATAAATCACAACGCAATGCTAAATAGTTAGGTTAGATTTTAGGTAAATTTAATTTGTGTGAAGTATGTTCTTAAAAAGCACCTTAACACTGGAAAACACAAATATAATTATAATAGTTTTTGTTTTCTCCATTGAAGATTGAGATTAGAATCTTCCCAATCTGCAATAAAATAAGGCTTTTTTTTTTTTTTGCAGACATTCTGCAGCTAAACGAAACAAAGAAATCTATTTTAATAAATTGAGGTATTTTATATTTAGTTCGCAGCATACATAAGAAAAAAATATGTGAATTAAATTTCGTGATGGTATGTCATCATACTGCTAGAATTAATTTCAAGATTATGCCAGAGAAAATTTCCTGAAATTTAGAAATATTATTTACTAATAATTAATAAATTTAGAGGGAAGAAGCATCATTAAATTATACGAATAACATAAAAATAAAGATAATTACTTAAAAATTGAATTAGAATAATCAACGATATTTTAGCGAATATAGTTATATTACATGGTTAGCCTAGATGACAGATTACTACTTTTTATTTTACTGCAAAATGGCAAGGTATTTATTAAAAAGAAAAGTTTAAAAAGATTTTGCGGTAAAATTCTAGTATACGGTAAGGCTTTGGCACGATTCTGAAAATTGTCGCCAAGACCAAAATGACCCGTTTACTGCGCATCATCATGTCGCCAAATCCATACATGGAGATTATTTTAACCAAAAACGTCTCTATGCAAAGAATCTCTAATTCTTTGGTCTATGTAAAGAAGAAAATTTTCCATACAAGTAAAATGCTATTACGCCGCTAGAATGCGGAGGGAAAATTTGCCAAGGGATTTGGCGACGGAACCTGGCGGCTAGAATTTCCCTCTCCGCGATGTGTACCTGAAATTGAGAAACGTGTTAAGAAGAAACGTTCTTTGACAAAAAGAAAGCTACGAAAATCCGTTTTTAAATTATTGCGAAAAATCCAAGAAGAAACGTTTTATCAAAGGACGTTTCTTCTTGGATTTTTCGCAATAATTTTAAAAACGGATTTTCGTAGTTTCCCCCTCCCCTGAAAATTACTAACCTAGGAATTAATTTACTTGCGCCAAAAAATATTTCTTTTTAATTTAGAGTTTAACTACTTGCGCTAAGACTAAACTTCACGGTTGCGGTGCCGTGCGCTACAATATAGCAAGTGGTAAAGTGTCTCATTTACGCCGCTCCGCATCTGCGAGTGCAATCCAGAGCTGTAACTCGAGAAATAAACAATCTCGTTGTTAGGCGACGTGTGCACCATGTTATTTTCATTTTTGCGATAAATGCTTATCGACGTGGTGTTCACGTCGCTCGCAGTTTGAGACAAAAACATCTCGAGCGCAAGTGGTTAAAGAAATTTTAAAGGATATTCATTAATGAACTCTTGACAACGTGACCTTCGAACTTCGACACCGGTTTCCAGCTTTGGCGGCAGATACATCACGCATGCACAGCTGTTTCCCTCTATGATGGAACGGAGCCATGTCTGTTGCAGAGAGGTTTTCCTTCTTTACAATACATATTCTTTGATTCTAACCTCCATGGTACCGTATACTAAGATTAAACCCATTTTGTTTTATACGAGAACAGGTACTTTCTTTAGTTCATGCACTGCACATGCGATTCTCGAGAATACTGGAAACCAAAAGTTGCGGGAAACTTGCTAATTGGCTCTATGCCAGCAGACACTCACGTGATACGAAATTCGCCAAAAAAGTTATCTCTTCCGACGTCGGCGCAAAAATCGCTTTTTTTGGCGGGATCATTGTATGAACTTCCCTGACTTTTCCAGATTTTGACAAAAATACTTAAATTCCCTGACTTTTCCCTGAATTTTTTGGTCAATTTTCGAATTCCCTGACTTTTCCCGGTTTTCCAGGTAGCGTGGCAACCCTGATTAGAACAGCAAATTGTTAACAGTTCGAATTCAGCAATAATGAAGGTCAGCAGTTAAATGAAATACAGAGAAGTCTCTAAAGTTCTTAAATGTTACAGTAGATATTTAGTAAGACTTATAATAAAAACAAATATTTGTTTCAACATTACAAGGAATCATTTACTTATCGCCTCCTCCAGCATATAATATTTAAGAAAATTTAGATTGATTGATGTTATCTTCATTAATGCCTAATATACTTGAAAAAACTGCCCTTTTTACCCCTATGAAGAAACTTTTTTTTTTCATATATCAAAAAAAAAAGTATATTTTATTAGCAAATATTTTTAAGATGTTTATCAAAGATTCATAATATGCTGAATTATATTTCAATAAGCATAGAAATATGACCAAAAAAGGATATGGAAAACTTTTCGTAACTATGTTTTCAGTGTGATACTATGTGTTTTCAGTGTATACTATATGTTAGATAAATTTAAATTTAGACCTATGAAATTATTACTAAATATCTACGAAACAACATATGATGGAGTATTTACAAAGTTACAGGATCTTGGCACCAAGAAAAGTATAAAGTAAAGGGCACAATATGCAACTTTTTGAAACTGAATAAACAATGGTGATCAAAGTGACACATTCCTCTTTCATGTAAAATTTAATTAATTGCAGGTATAAGAATAAAGGAAAATGGTACATTTTTATTTTAGTGGCACCCAACCATATATGGCAATTTTAGATTTGTGCCAAGATCTGTTATAATTTCGCCAAGTTTGTGAAGCGCAAATGTGAAAATAAAGAATACTCACATCATTTTCTAAGAACATATTTAAGAATTATTATACTTATAATTTTATCGCACTGTTTCAGTCAACTGTAGCCCTTTCACACATATTAAGCTATTTGTTACACCATTTCATGGACGCCAACGCCTCTGCCCAAGAATATATAAATCTAATGGCAATGACAAACAATATTTTGGAACAAATGAACAAATTTCCAACATGGAGATTCTTCTTCTTTTTGCAATTTTTAAGAAAGCATCTCCAAATGGTTTTGCCGTTACATGTTGCGGCCATTTTTCCATACTTGTTCGTCAGGTAAAAAACATCTTTCTTGAAAAAAATTATACGGCATCTGCCTATCTGCCTCACTCCTTGGTAAATTAAAGATCATTAACGTCATACTCACCCCCCCCAAAAAAAACTGAAAGTTTTCAGATTTTACATTAGTACAAAAAGGGACCTTTTTTTAACCTGTATATTACCCTTATTTATTAAATGTTCTTTTTGCAATTTTTAAAAAAGCATCTCCAAATGGTTTTGCCGTTACATGTTGCGGCCATTTTTCCATACTTGTTCGTCAGGTAAAACATCTTTCTTGAAAAAAATTATACGGCATCTGCCTCACTCCTTGGTAAATTAAAGATCATTAACGTCATACTCACCCCCCCCTGTGTGTATTACCCTTATTTATTAAATGTTCTGTGTATTACCCTTATTATTTACCCTTCTGTGTATTACCCTTATTTATTAAATGTTCTTTTTGCAATTTTTAAGAAAGCATCTCCAAATGGTTTTGCCGTTACATGTTGCGGCCATTTTTCCATACTTGTTCGTCAGATAAAAAACACCTTTCTTGAAAAAAATTATACAGCATCTGCCTATCTGCCTCACTCCTTGGTAAATTAAAGATCATTAACGTCATACTCATCCCCTACCCCCGAAAAAAAAACTGAAAGTTTTCAGATTTTACATTAGTACAAAAAGGGACCTTTTTTTAATCTTCTGTGTATTACCTTTATTTATTAAATGTTCTTTGCACTTAAACTATAAAATTCAATTTAACAGCAATATCGCAAAATAATTTTAAAACGAGCATAACTTTAGAATTTCTGATATACAGTCCTGCGCGCTCAGTTCTAGATCTCCCGTTCTACTGATTCGTTGATGAAATTCAACTTGCATTTGTCATGTCTCGAACGATAGATCTAGGATATATATTAGATTTATATAAAGCACTGTTCTAATATAGGTATTTTGACACAAAATCAGACTTTCTGAAATGACAAGCCAATTTTTTTTTCCATCTTTCAATCTACAGCTCATATTATGTCAAACTGCTAAGTTTTGTAAAAAATCGCACAAGTAGTTTTTAAAAAAATTAGCTTTCAAAATTTTAGCTCCTCAATCTTAATTGAATTTGGTATATATTTGTTAATATCTCTTTTTTTTATTAAACTTATTTGATTCTTCCTTTCACATTTCAAAATTTAAGTTAATTCTAAATAAAATTCGCCCATTTTTTATGATTTATTTTTAAAAATTAGTGTTTTAAAATAATTTTTATAAATTAAAAAAAAAATTGAATTATAACCTACACACTTTTTAATATCATCTTAATATAGATGTATTTCTAGACACACCTGCAAAAAAATTTTTTTATTCAAAATTTTTTAAGATATACGAGAATTTACATACCGGAGCATTTTGAAATTTGGCATATTTTTTATAAGCAATAACAATGCCAAATGTGGTTTACGTACTTTGTTAAAATTATTTGAAAGTATAAACGATGACTTTTTTTTGGCTCATCTGCAATGAAAAAAAAAGGAAAGGAAAATAGGTTATTATAAATTAAAAAGTTCATCAAGTGAATTATTCTTGGCGCAAACTGAAAAAAAAAATGCACGAGGTAAATTTTTTTATTTCTCCGTAAATTTTGCACTAAATTTTACAAAATTTAATATTTAGGCATAATTTGAGTCGTAGAATCGAAATGTGAAAAAAAATTGGCAAGTCATGTCAGAAAAGTCTGATTTTGTGTCAAAATACCTATGTTAGAAAAATGCTATATATAAATCTAATATATATCCTGCTGTGCTTTCGAGATACGAAAAATGCAGTTTGAATTTCGTCAATCGACCCAGTAGAACGGGAAATATAGAAGTGACCCACCCTTTTTTTGTGTGCAGTGTACGTTATTCAAAATTTGATGGCTCTAGGTACTGTTGTTTTATCACAATGCAAGAAACATACATACATTTATAGAGATTCTTCACTACTTAATTTCTTTAAATATAATACAGGGCTCTAATATTTGGTGGCAACAATTTAAAAAGTGATTCGCCATTTATAGTGAATCAACGCAAAATTCCAAAATGAAATTAATAGCCCTTTGGGCTAAAAAGCAATAAATATATTTTTAAATTACCAATGCAAATTTGAAACCTAACCAAAAATAAATAATAAAAGAACACATGGCGTGTGCAAAAATACAACATGAGGCTAACATACAATTATATGGTGAGGTGTAAGAACATGCAGCCAGTGCTAGTATATGATCATGTGGCAAGGTATAAGAACACACAGCCAGATTTTGGTGAGATATCTTGGTTGATTCCCGATTCAATCTCAGTGGTCACTATAACAAAGAAGTACCAGAAAAGATTTAGAAATGATGTATTTTAAGCATGATTGACAAGTTTCTTCCATGGCCTGTCGATAGCTCAGTTGGCAGAGCAAGGACTGTAGGGATAATGAATCTTCTTCCATGGTGGAAAAATTCAGTAGGAAGATATGTTTTATTTCTTATTCCATATTAATATATTTATATTTTAGTCATATATAAATCTGCTATATTACAAATCAATTTAACTATTTTATTATAAGCATATTTAACTTTATTTGTACGCTTTCTCCTTTCTTGGTAGCATGTATGTGATCCTAAATACTTTAATCCTATGAATTTCAATTTTTTTGCATTGTTGTAGTATTTTGTTTTGTTCCATTTTTTTATGGTTTTTAAAATGAAACTTTTATGATTTATTTTGTGTTTAATCTAATTTGTGGCCACATGTCTTGCATTTAAGTGCTTATTTGTTGCACAGAATTATAGATCTTTTAATTGAATGCAAAGACTTTGAAAGAAGACGAGATATACACAGTTTCATTCCTAACTGGCTTTGACAACATTTAATCATTTTTCACCAACTTGGCAAGTTTCTGGAAAATTCGTGAAAATACATTTTCAAAAAACTGCAAACAGTTTTTCCAGAACCCATGCTGTGCAGTAAAAATATGGATTAGAGCTCGAGAGTTCAGTCATGAATGAGTTGTAAATCAGCTGTGAAATTTAACAGTTAACCGAATTACAAATTAGGATTTACCCTGAGAGTGATCTGAGGAACTTTATGATTTATTTCATGTGTTAAGAAGGAATTGATAAATAGCTGCAATCTCCTTGAATTATTTCCAGCTATTATTAGGGTGCATGTGTGCCAGTGATTTTGCAAATTTTCCAAAAAAATTACGTTATTTTTTCCTGCTTATTTGGACTCATTACTTAATGAAACATCAACGATCCTGTCCCTCGTAACAATACATATGTATATACTATTTAGCTTTTCCTAACAGATTTGCATTTATACCAGTGAGTTTGGATAGATTTTGAAAATGAATTCCAGTTCATAACTGCAAAAAAATTGGAAATCAACATATTTATCATATACAGAACATATAATCTACATACAGAAAAAGAGACAAAATTTGAATTATTTATTAAAAAACTACATACCATATACGCTTTCGTAATGTTAGGGCTCATGTAATGTCCACACTCTAACTTTGCAGATAAAATTCATGTAAAAAAAACTAAAGAATTTCTTACTTTAAAATATATTTTTCTTAACATCACCCTTTTTCTCTTCAGTCAATAATATTAGTCAGTAAACATTTTTAAAGAAAGAATATATGCATTTGTTTTGTCTTTGGTTGATGCCAGGATGGAAAACAGAGACTTTCCTTGCATTCTGGTGCAGCTGTTATTCAGTCATAACATCAACATCAGCAATCCACTCGGCAGACACGATAATAATAAATGAAGGCAGTCCAAAGAGGTTTTCAATACATTGGCTTCCAGAAAATACTGTTTTGTAATGAAATTACTTTCTCCTCCTTGGAGCATTCACATATTTCAAGCTTTCTCTTTTCATTCATAGTATCATTTGGAATTTGTAGTAGCTAGCAAGTAGCATGTCTGAAATGGGAAAATACAGCAGCTATAAAGCGGCTTTTAAACTGAAAGGTTATAGAATTTGTGCAGGAAAACAGAAAAAGAACAGCAGCAAGAGCATATAAGGTGGATGAAACGTGTGTGTACAGTTGGAGCAAACAGCAAGAACAACTGGTGGCAGCGAACAAAACAAAATGTGCATTTTGTGGTTTGAAATGCAAGTTTCCAAACTTAGGAAAAAAAGTAGCTGCGTATGCTCGTGATACGCGTGCTTAGGGGTACGCAGTACACGTGCGCTAAATAAAATAAGAGTGCTTGCTGTAGCACGAGAAGACATTCTTACATTGCAATTCAAGGCGAGTGAAGGCTGGTTGCAGCGAATGATGAAACAAAATGAATTTTTATTTCACCAGTGTACGACAATGTGTCAAAAAATGCCCAGTGACTATGAAGATAAGTTGATGTCCTTTTATCACCTCATTATCGCAAAGCGAATCATTATTTAGCTTCACAAATTGTGAATGCCAATCAGACGCCAGTTTATTTTGATGCTCCAGACAATTACACTGTAAATGAACGTGGTGCAAGATCTGTACCAATACTCACATGCAGATATGAAAAACAAAGAGCAACTGTTGTGTTATCAGTTACTGATGACGGCAAAGAACTTCCGCCGTACGTGTTTTTTATGCAAAAAACAATGCCAAAAGAAAAACTGCCACCAGGATTTGTTTTACGAGTTCAAGAGAAGGGGTGGATGGACGATACTTTTGTTCAGGACTGGCTACAGAGTGTGTTGTATAAACGACTTGGAGCTCTATTGCAGCTACCTTCCCTTCTCATGTTGGAGAGCTTCAAAGCGCATCTTAGAGGCGCAGTGAAACAAAATCTTGAAACTCAAGAACTGATCTTGCTGTGATTCCAGGAGGTCTAACTTCCATTCTTCAGCATCTTTATGTTTGTATAAACAAGCCAATTAAAATGGTATTCAAACGGAGCTACCGTAATTGGATGACTTCCAGGGAAGGAGAGACCACAGCAGCTGGACATCTGAGAAGAGCATCCATCTCAGAAGTATGTGCATGGATTATTGCTGTATGGAAAAGTATATCTGACGATGTGATTGTGAAAAGTTTTGAAGTAACTGGTATATTAAATGCTTTCGATGGAACAGAAGACTATGTCCTTTGGAAGGATAACATGAATGAGGAGAACGAGAAGAATGACATGAATGAAGAAAATGAGGAAGATGTGAGCAAAGAAGGGGGATGACGATGATAACTAATACGTGGAAAAAAGAACAAAAGTGCTGGTACTACGTGTGTGTTGAAAATTGTTCGTGATAAGTTTCCAAAAACTGCTAAGAATTCAAAGTTTAGTATTTAATGTGTATACATTGTGTTTGTGTTAACAATTAGTGTGTGCTGATGCAATTGAAAATGATTTGCAAGGACAAAATAAAGGTGAGGTAAAAAAATGTTACTGATTAATTTATTTTCACTCATATAACTGAGTATTGTTCACGGTGCTTTTTCTTTCTTTCTTGCAGTAGCTTGAAATTAGAAATAATACCGCTCACTGATTCTCCACTATGTGGCTTCCACTAAATTGCCTGCACTGCCATCTTATGTATTTTTATGCTACTGTTTGCAGCAGAAAGATTTTACATCCGCACACATAGACATAACAACCAAACTTTTCATACACTGCATCAGAACAGATTAAAAAATAATGTGTGAAAGATAAAAAAAAAACAACATTTGTTTAATTTGTGTGAAAGTAAATATTAAAATTGCAAGTGTTGGTTAATTTGTGACTCTATATTGTGCTCCTGTGCAAAATAATACACGTCAACTGTTGATAACGTAAATGGGTAAATTATACTCGTATTATATATGTGGATGGGAGAAAGTGAATTTGTAAATTTTAGATAGCGATTAGACAACTTTAAATTTGATACTTTTATTACTTATGCCATTTTTTTCCACTTAGAACTTAACTTGGCTGTTAGAAATGAAATTTAAACCCAAAATTACTCACGAGAAAAACCACGACATTTGAATGACCTGTGTAATGTCCGCACCTGCATTTTAGTGATGCAATTTTAGTAAAAAAAATTGTGGAACTTAGTAGAAAAAAAGTGTGGTTAAGTTTCACTAATTCAATACATTTCATTAACAAAGGTTGCTAGGCAACCGCAGACGATTCCAATCAAAAGTTTGATATTTTTAACCATAACTTTTTCAGAATATTTTGCCATTTCAGCATGATTTGTGTTGTTTACAGTAAATTGAAAAATTAATCTCGAGGGGGGGGGAATGGTATTGATTTGTGAACATTTTCATGCAGTTATTTTTCATAACTTTCGAAGTGGATTATCAAGATAAGAGTGCTTCGATGGACTTAATTCTTTATAAAGCGATAAAGCACCATCCTACAGCCCTGTAAAAAACTGGTATAATGAATTCAATTGTAGTTGATGTTCGCTCCAGGATGAATTCTGTGAAGGTCATCCATGTTGGGCAAGAAAATATTGATGCTGTGCGTGAACTGATAAAGCAAGATCACCATGTGACATATCCTAAGATCGAGGCATTTTAGGCATTATGACAAGCATCAATAAGATATTACATGAACGTTTGGCCGTAAAAAAAAGATTTGTTCGCACTGGATCCCACATAATCTGACAAACGCTCAAAAGAAGGCTTGAGTCAATTGGTGCAAGGAAATGTTAAAAAAATAAGTTCAAGGTGCATGAAAGGCTGTGTATAACATCTATACAGGTGACGAATCATGGATCTATATGTATGAACCTAAAACAAAACAGCAGTCAACTGCATGGGTCTTCGAAGACAAGCTAAATCCAACAAAAGTTGTTCACATAAGAAGCACACAGAAGCAAATGGTTGCCTGTATCTTCAGTATTACCGATTACGTGGCGACAGTGGTGTTAGAGCAACACAGGATGGTCAATTCTGAGTGGTATACAACCATTTGTTTGCTAGAAGTCATTGAAGGAATTCGAAAACAGTAGAAGAGACGAATCATTCTTCATCATGACAATGCGAGCTCTCGGACATCAGCTCAAACAAAGGAATTTTTGACGGACCAAAACATCAAATTGATAGATCATCCACCAATACAGCCCTGATTTGGCAAAGCAATGACGTTTTTTAAATTCCTGCACATCAAAAGTAAATTACGTGGTAAGCAATTTGCGACACCCAAAGAAGCGGTTAATGCATTCAAAATGCATGTTTTGGAGTTACCTCAATCGGAGTGAAAAAAGTGTTTCGAAAATTCGTTCAAATGCATGCAGAAGAGTACAAATCTTCATGGAGAACATTTTGAAAAACAATAAAACCAATTTTGATGATAAAATTTGTTTTTTCATTATTAGACCAGAAATATAAATAGCAACCTTTGTACTCCTGGGAAATATTTTCTTAATAAAAAGTGAAAATTTTAAACTGGCAGATTTAGTGATCTACTCAAAGATGAGAAGAAAAGCTGGGTTATATGGCAACTGTTAACATATTCTAAACGCTTAATAGTTCTAATATAATTTTAACTGGCTTTTTTAGAGAAAACTTTTTTATAGCAGAAATAATTAAACATTTACTTTTACACGAGTTAAACTGTTATTAGTAAATTTATTCTCTTTAGCAGTCCTACAGAGCATAATAATTTATTTCTTCTTATCTCTCTCTCTCTTTCTTTCCCCCGTCCTGGAAGAAACTGAACCCTGATATGAGAAAAGCAAAAATATTTATAAATGTTGGCTAAAATTAAAGACTTTTAATGACCATGCAAATCTTAATTAACCACATATTTTTTAGTGTCGAGATCCCATAACTTTGAAAGTACTCTACATGCTGTTTCATAGAAAGCAGGCCTTAAATTTTAATCATTTTCGAAAATGTGATGGGAAAACCTATAAACAGCCGTTAACTTGCATCCTCTTGTATAAAAACTAAACTGGCTTATCAAAATTAGTTGGATTTATATAAAACCACTGCAAAGATCTTATTATTTTTATGTAATATTACGTTTATCACGCAGACAAGCAGATTTTGCTTTCTGAAAAAGCATCATGATTTTGCTTATAGGAAGACCTGTTTCTGCAAGTAAAAGTTTCAAACTAGTTGAAGATAAGCAGTGTGTACACATATTTCAAAAGTTTCATTTCAGTATAAAGCAGCTATTCAATTTGTTTCAGTTCCGCACCCCTTTAAGTTTAGAACTTTTGCAAGAACAGTAATAAACATCAGGAAAATCATATGTATTTATTGGTGAAGAAGGTATACATTTTTCAACAGTTAAGTTTAAAAAATTGTGCTAAAAAAAGTACACTCCATAATCAATGTAATTTTTTTTAATACCTGCAACACTATTGTTCAATCCTACCATTACTAATGCAATGTCTGCACAAAGAGCTATACAGTTAACCAGAGGAACTCTATTTTCCTTCCCAGTTTTAATAATTGGCTGTTATATAAAAAGCCTTTAGAATTTCCTTCCAAAGTGTGAACACAAAAGGTAAATTTTAACCACTTTCTGAAGCCAGAAGATTAAAAAAACAATTAACTATAATTGAAACCAGTTCTGTATTTATACTACTGCTTCCACCTGCAGAAAAGCAAGAAGGAGCTGTTTCAATGCAAGCAAAAAACTGAAAATTACTTTTCATACCAACTTCTTTCATAACTGAAGTCACATTTATCCTTACACTTGAATATTTCTAATTTTTTCTAGCAATTTCAATATTAGAAAACATTTTTCTAAATAAAACTGCAGCATGATCAGAGACAATCAAACACCAGACTGCACACAAATAGACAGAAAACAGGCAATCTAATTGGTTCTTTATTTCTACAGAAAAATTTAATTTCCTTTTTCAATGTAACGTATGTTGTCCTTGTGTTTTAGTGTATATACATATTTTAGTGCA